ACACACACACACACACACACACACACACAGCTGGCAAGGAGTGAATCGGGGCTTCAACCCAGGCACCTGACCCCAGAGCTTACCCACTTGACCGTTGCTCATGAAATCAACTTTTTTGGAAAGTCCCAAGCACGTGAATGTTTTGACACCACCTCCCTCCTCCCCGACCCCCGTACACTGACAAAGCAGTCCCCAGGTGGCATCAACAATTAGGCTTTCATTTCCTGAAAGGATGAGGAAGCCTCTTTAACTTTGTTTGGTCCCATGCTTGCTCATGGAGCACTCCCAGTAGCAGAAGATTCCTGAGGTCCCCTCTCCCACAGCACACAGTGGCAGAAGCTGTGGGGTGGCTGGCAGAGACGGGAGGGGGTGCACCGGTGCATGAGCAAGTGTGAATGTATCCTAGGGCCTCAATTTCTCAGCCATGATGGCAGGTTATGTAACCCCGGAGCTTCCTTTTCTCCAGCTGTGAAAAGGGATAAAATTACTCGCTTCCAGTGGAACCACGTGTTTCTCAGGAGTTATGCGACGGACTCTCGGTGAGTCCCTGTCCCTTTCCGGGCTTCCACCTCCCTTAGTGGAAGGAGAGGGCTGCTTCAGCTCTGGGGACAGCGCCCTCCTTCTCAGGCCCTCCTGCTCATCCCAGGGTAGGACAGGAAACGGTTTCAACCAGGCTTGTGGATCTGGGTCACCACCAGCTGGGTCATGTGACCGGCACCTCCCAAGCCCCTGCCCCCCTTGCAATGTGCCCTCTGGGGTCAGAATAATACAGGAAGGGAGCTGGTGCTGGATTCAGGGCTGTGGGCACCGAGGGGGAGTTGGGGCAGGGAATGGGGCCACCTGGGCACTTTGGCATGGACAACAACAAGTCATTAGCACTCAGGCACTGTTTGTTCCAACAGGACACCAGGGCCTGGCTGGTAGCATTTCTGCCCTTCCTCCCTCCCTTCCTTGGCTCCTCCCCTCCTTATTTCCTGTCCTGAAGTCTCCAGGGCGCTGAGTCTGGCACTGGGCTGGGCCCCGTGACCAGGCAGGGAGACCCTTGGGACACCTAGTAACTTCCACCCAGCCCTGGGCCAGGCGCCTAGGCATGCCAGGCCTCAGGCCACTGCCCGGGCACAGAGCCGTAAGAGACCCACGCTCAGGGGCCTGCTGGGGCCTGCATTGGAGCACTGATCTCAGAGCTCAGGCCTGGCTGTTCCCCAGCTCCTCAGAGCGGCAAGTCCTGGGCGCAGAGGGCAGGTGGGAAAGCAGGAGGGCAGAAGAAGGTAGAGGAGGAGCTGGGCAGGTGCCGTGGGTGGAGTGACACCACGAACTAGAACTTGGCTGGGTGGACACTTGAGTTTGCGCGTGGCGTCTGGCTGTCCTAGGAATGTGTGGCTGGGTTCACTCAGCAGGGCACGTCCGTCACCTGTAGACCTTTTATGTCCTCATAAATTACAGCGGGCCGACAGTTAGGATCCCATACGTGGAGGAGGATATCACGGAGGGGGACCCGCTTGGTGAACTGAGAATCACGAAGGGCAGGGTATCCTGCCCAAACCAAAATAACCCCAAACCCACCACTGCTAAGTCGGTTCCGACCCAAAGCAACTCCAAGGGGCAGAATGGAATGCCCCCTTTGGGTTTCTAAGTGGATATACTGTTACTGGAGCAGAGAACAAGACCCCCCCAGACCAAACCCATAGTCATTGTGTTGATTCCAACTCACAGCGACCTATAGGACAGAGTGGAGCTGCCCCTGTGGGCAGCCCTCAAGACTGTAGCTCTTTCTGGAAGTAGAAAGCCTCGTCTTTCTCCCTTGGACCCACTGGTGGGTTCGAACCGCCGACCTTGAGGTTAGCAGCAGCCCAGTGCCACCAGGGCCCCAGAGCAGAAAATCTCAGGTCTCGGAGGAGCTTTCCTGGGTGAGATTTCAGGGCACACAGGAACCGGGTGAGTGACACTCCGGGCAGGGAAGCCACACCAACCCATGTTTCTACCCAACCCTGTCTTCCTGGGCAATCCTGTGTGCTGACAAGGCTTACTCACTCTTACAGCGTGATGATGAGCGTGGAGCAGCAAAGCATCTCCCAGCCAGGGCGCGCCCTCCACCCTTCCGACGGATTGGAATAGCTAACACGGACGGGCACTCCCTGGATTACACATGAGAACTAGCAAATTCCATCTCTAAGCCTGTCTCTTCATCACATTTGTCTGAAGTTGGAACAGTTAGGTGTGGTTTGTCTCTCAGGCCCATGAGCCCATTGTATTTCCCGCTAACAACCAATATATGTAGTTGATCAGTCCTGTGTATTTAAAAGAAAACCCACTGCCGGCTGTGGTCAATTCTGACTGTTGGGGGCCCTGTATAAGGTTACGGAGACTGTCAACCTTTATGGGAGCAGGCAGCCTCATCTTTCTCCCTCGAATGCCGGTGGCCTTTAGGCCCCCTGCTTTCACCCACAGCATCGCCAGGGCTCTGTATACGGGCAGTGCTGTAAACATTTGAGATAGATAGATATATTTATGATAAAAAATTTTAAAAAAACATGAAACATTTCCAGATACATAAAAGCCTAGGATCCCAAAATGATTTGGTCTACCGCCTCCCTTTTCAGAGAAAAAAAAATCTCAGCACCTCCCTAGCAATGAAAAACCTTTGTACTGTAGCATGGAACCCAGGATAAAGTGTAGGTATCTGCTTTTACAACCCCCTTGCACACTAACCCGCCCCCCCCTGCCCTGCCAGTCCCTCTTCCAGCACACTCTAGGGGGCAGTATGCACCACTTGGGAAAACACAGCAGGCAAACATCTTTAACATGATGCAGTATTACTAATAATACTGCAGCCATGTTTTAAGCATTGGCGATGTATTACCTTATGTGGTCTTTCCAGAAGCTTAGGCAGAGGTGTGAGTAGTCTCTCACCATCCTCTTTTTACGGATGGGGAAAGGGAGGTAGGGAGATGAAGTCACTTGTTCAAGATTGCCCTCTTACAGTGATTTGCACCTGGAAGCTTGGCTCTGCCGGGGTGGGGGTTGCTTTGGTAATACCAGGCCAAACCATAGCCTGCAGGGCAGAGGATTTGCCTTGTCCCATGGGTGGGGACAAAAGCTGGCTGGGTGGGATCAGGTTGTGCAGCCTCAGCCTAGGGGCAGGTGTGGCTGGGCTTCCGTCTCAGAGCTGTGCTCTTTCTGGCCTGCCATAGGTCTTCCTACCTCTGACAACTTCAGGTTCCTACTCTGCTCTGCTCTGCCTTACATGGTTTCCCTGGGAGCTGGACGCACCAGGGCCCCCAGGAGGCAGAGTGGGTTCTCAGGGTGCTTGTCCGAGGGGAGGCAGGGAGTGCATGGGTCTGGTCTGGGTGGAGACTGGAATGGAAGGTCGGGGACAAGGGGGTGCCTGGTGTTCCGGGAGTGCACACTGAGTGTTCCTATGTTGGATGAGTGGCTAGCTAGCGGCTGCCCTCCAAGTTGGGGGCTGGGTCAAGGGTGAGAGTGGTGGGAGTGGGTGGTTCCAAGGACAGCAGACTCTCCCCCCGTTGGCTGCAGACACCACTTGCCGACAGCGAGGAGTCCCTGGATTTCAGCGTGAGCCTGGAGCAGGTACAGACCTGGAAGGGAGAGTGGGAGGGGCGAGGGGGGGAGTGGCATCAGGGCCTAAGTTTGCTGCTTCCCTGCTCTCTTGAAGGCCCCCAGAGAGAGGGTGCTCAGGGCTGGGAAGCAGCTGCACCGACATCTCCTGGCCACCTGCCCAAACCTCATCCGGGACCGGAAGTACCACCTTCGACTCTACCGGTGAGTCGAGACCCAGCCTGCCTGCTCTCTCCCATCTTTGTCCCTTGCAGACACATGGGCTGTAGCAGAAGTGGGGCTGGGGCTGGAAAGGTGCCTTTCTGACCTCTTCTCCCTCTCTCTGCTGGTGCTCCCTCCTCTCCGTGTGTCCCCCGCACCTGGGCCTGTAGGCAGTGCTGCTCCGGCCGAGAGCTGGTGGATGGGATCTTGGCCCTGAGGCTTGGGGTGCATTCCCGGAGCCAGGCAGTGGGGATCTGCCAGGTGCTGCTGGATGAAGGTGGTCTCTGCCATGGTGAGCCCTCATGCAGGGTGGGTCGCCCAGGCTGGGCAGGCCTGAGGACAGGATGGGCAATCCTTATCACGGGCTCCAGACCCACACAACGTCCTAATTTCTCTCCACCTCCCCGGGCCTGGGCCTGTGCCCCACAGTGAAACACGACTGGGCCTTCCAGGACCGAGACGCCCAGTTCTACCGTTTCCCAGGGCCGGAGCCCCAGCCTGTGGGAGCTCAGGAGGTGGAGGATCTGCTGGAGGCGGTAGCTCTGCTCGCCCAACGGGGGCCCGATGCCCTGCTCACTATGGCCCTCCGGAAGCCGTGAGTCAGTCGGGGTCCTGTTTCCCCAAACCCTACTGCCCACCCTGCAGCACTCATATGACCGCTGAGGGGATCCTTTACTTCCCCAGGTAGACAGGTAACACAGAGGGGCCAGGAGGCCTGAACCCTGGTCTTCCTTCTGCCATGAGTAAGGTGACCAGACGTCCTGCTTTTGGCGGGACAGTCCCGATTTTTAACAATTTTTCCTGCGCCCTGCAGCGTTTTAAAAAAGTCCCGATTTTTGGAAAGACTGCACGACAAGCTAGGGTATACGGTTTTCAGCTGCCATGTGGCTATTTCGCCAGGATATGGGTTTTATCAATGGTGTCCTGCTTTACCAATGTTAAAACCTGGTCACCTTAGCGATGAGCCCCGCTTGCCGCCTGCTTTGTGGTGGAGGAGGCCGATCTCCAAGGAGCACCCCTCCCCCACCCCCACCCCCGGGCTAGGTCTGGGTTCAGATTCCAGGTCCCATGGGTGACCTTGGGCCTGCTCCTGGCAGCAGCTTCCTCTTTTACAATGAGGCTTTTACAATATGGGCCCCACGTCACAGGGCTGTCATGAAGGCAGACGGCACGGTCCGTGTGTGTACCGTGCACTGGCACTGTCTGGCTCGCTAGCACTCAGCCCAAGTTGACTGCAGTGAAGGCTAAGTCACAGCAGACAATCTGCTGGCCCCGAGTCCCCAGGTGGGGGTGGGCAGCGGGAGGAGAGCGGCTGCCCTGCCTGGGCCTGGGCCTCCAGTCCAGGACGGGTTGACCGCATCCTCTCTAAAGCCCCCTTCCTGCGCCCGCAGCCCCGGGCAGCGCACGGACGAGGAGCTTGAACTCATCTTCGAGGAGCTGCTGCACATCAAGGCCGTGGCGCATCTCTCCAACTCGGTCAGCGGGCAGGCCCTCCTCTTACTGTGCACCCCGCACCCCAGAACCCCACTCTCTGGCTGGACATTTGCAATCTCATGTCTTGCCCCACCCTGTCCTCAGCACTCTTTCCTCCCCGGCTCTTTGTCCCCTTGACAAACCCCAGGGACATCAGCAGGACCCCACCGCCTCTCTAGCCCCTTCTGTCTTTGGACCCACCTCCTGCTCCCTTCTCCCGCACGGCCGGCCATGCCTGACGTGTCTCTCCCCGGCTGCTCCACAGGTGAAGCGGGAGTTAGCGGCCGTTCTGCTCTTTGAGCCGCACAGCAAGGCGGGGACCGTGCGTAAGTCAGGCAGGGGACAGGGAGTGGATGTGTGGAGGGGGTCAGAGGGGATGACACCTGATCTGTGCTTCTCTCAGTGTTCAGCCAGGGCGACAAAGGCACCTCATGGTACATTATCTGGAAGGGCTCTGTCAACGTGGTGACCCATGGCAAGGTGTGTGCCACCCCCTTTAGCCCCAAGGTTCATGTCCTTGTGGACGGTGACTTCGGGGGTCACCCAAACCTCCTCCTGCTCTGGTGAACCTTCCTGGGCCTGCCCCCTCAAGGGCTGCGGGGCTGGGCTGGGCCGTGACAGAGGGTCTGGCTGCAGGGGCTGGTGACCACTCTGCACGAGGGAGATGACTTTGGACAGCTGGCTCTGGTCAATGACGCACCCCGGGCAGCCACCATCATCCTAGGAGAAGACAACTGCCACTTCCTCCGGGTGGACAAGCATGACTTCAACCGCATTATCAAGGTGCCACCTTGTGGGGGGCGGGGGGACAGGGGACACAGGACATGGGGCGGGGGGAGATATTGAGGACACAGCAGGAGGTCAGTGACTCAGGATGAGCTTGGAGTAGGGCTAAGAGGAATGGGGGCACCTACAGAGACAGCAGGGGCTGAGGTGCCTGGTGGGGAAGCAGCACGGTTGTGGATGGGGCCCAGGGAAGGATAGAGGGCCGGCAGGGAACGAGCAGAGAAACAGCTCTGTTTGGAGGATGCGCACCTGATGGTTCTGTTGGGGGGGAGGGGGGCGGCGCTGCTAGGAGGTAGATCCATTGTGGTGGGTGAAATGAAGGGGGAGGGGGAGGGGAGTGCTAGAACTGACTGTGACTTCATGGCTCACTTTAAAGGTGATTTAATCATGGTGGGGGGAGAGGGGTGTTCTAAAATTGATAGGGTAACGGTTGTCCTGATAGGGTAATGGTAATGATCGGGTAATTCTCCTTGATGGGTTCGACTGATTGAAGAGCATGCTATGTAAGTTCTATGCCAATACAACTGTTAAGAAACAGAACAACCAAGAGATGGGTATTGAGTGAGAATGGAGAAGGGCTGCAGGTACAGGGAACCCTCGCCACTTCGCGCTTCGACTTCCGCGGCTTCACTCTATCGTGGTTTTTGCGTAACAGCACATGCTCTGTCATGACTGCCACTGATTGGCTCATACTGTACACGTTTGATGCCATAAATAATATAATAAATAATAAATGATAATTG